TGGTCCTACTGGCTGTCAAGCAGAGAAAGCATCCCCAGGAGATGACTGGCAGTTCAGTAGAGCAGATTAGACAGTACAAAAGCAAAAATGGAGACAAACACAACAGATGTGGGGGGAAGCATTTTTTTCCCTTGTGAAATTCCTATGCTCTAGTCCCAGTTAGCCAGGAGAACAGCAAGTCGTCATTTCCATTCAGACTCCCAGGTCTGGGAGGAGAATTGTGCAAAAGATTAAGGAAGGTGTTAGAAAGGATGTGAAAAAAGAAAAATAGCATCTTTACGGGTTCGGAGGTGTCAAAACTCCAGCTCCAAGTACCCAGAAATGCCTAAAGCCATCCTTAATGACTCATCTCTAAATTGCAAGTTTAGTTTACAAACAACGCCGTTCTTGGGTAAGGCTTGGATGCATGTAACCAACCAAGCAGTGCTGTCAGGGTGCCTATTTACTAATCCTTCATGTCTCAGTCTGATATAATCCAATCCAATGGCTTCTTTTCTGGACACAGAGAGCCTTCTTATCTGTAGTTAGCTCCAGATTTTACCAGATATTACCAGATAATACCAGCAGAGCATCTCTGTCTTCTGAGGCTTGACTTCCTGTCCAAGATTTGTCACTAAATGTAGAAGTTTTGATTCCAACCTGTGATTGCCAGTCTGCCTTTTGTGCCCTGTCTGGGACAGCTTCCAAGCTGCAGCAGTTCTGGGATTTACCGTGTGTGTGATGGCAGCAGAAATCGGCATGCAGAAGCCCTGTGCTTCCAGGAGCTCTCCACTGCAACCATTACAAATGGCTTGGCCTATAATCCCATATTCCTTTCAGTGTGACACCAGAAGAAACAGCAATCACAGCACATCCTCTCGAAACAATTCCCTTCTGAATTGCCAGCAGGCAGTGCTGGGTGGGTGGCTGTGCATGCTGAGATTTGTGCATGCAGCTTATGAGCTCATCGTGGTAAATGCAACGAAAGCAAAGCGCAAAAGGTCTTGGCCAGCATCAGAACCCAACGGATGAAGAGAGGATTTCTCCAGTGTCCCTTGTGCTCTGTCACACAAAAGGGATCCTGATCAGGCTACTCAGGCACACGCTTGGAGCTTAGGAGTACCAAGGGTAAGGCTGAGCGGGTTCAACATGCTGCTCAAGAGATTTGGCCAAATCCTCCAATTTTCTTAAGGTTTTGCATTTTTATACTGAGTTTTGCAACAGTGATTTCCTACAGCTGTGTACTTTTAGCTGGGCCTTCTTGTGTTTCAGCTTAGCTAGGAAATATGCTCTGTTAATTGGTTCATTTGAGAGCCTGGTATCAAAACCAATTCTTTAAAAGGAAGGATTCCTTTGTATATTTGAACCACTTCACCAGAAATATGTTTAGGCCAGGTTGGATGGGGCTGTGGGCAGCCTGATCTAGTATTAAATGTGGAGGTTGGTGATCCTTGAGGTCCATCCTTTCCAACCCAAGCCATTCTATGATTCCATGAATGGAAAAGAACTATGAGCTCAGAGTTGTTCTGGTCACAATTTCCCCAAGAAAATCAGGATATAAGCAACAGAAATCACTATAGCAGAGCCTGTGAAAAAAATGTTTTACTTCAGAAGCACTGAATATTTTTAGTATCACACACATATTTTTTTTTATCATTTTAAAACCTGTGATTTTAGATTAGATTGAAAGTGCCACTTTAAATGAATTGTCTGTATCTTTGTATACTTTTAGAGAATTGCTAAAGCAGTTTACAGATTATTTTAAAATAAAGACTTATGCTGTGTGAGTTCAGATGTTCATCATCTCCATACATTCAATTACAGTGCCCTCTGTTAGTGCTTTATAATTCAGCTAATACATCTGAATTATTTGATTTTCCCCAGCTTTCAGTAGTCATTTTGAAGCAATGCTTGAGCACTATTGCAAAAATCAGTGCATCTAAAACCCATTGTGTATGTAGTGGATTTTAACCCCTATGAAGATTTTAACCCATATGAAGATTTTAACCCCGTGTAGAAATCCTTCATCTATCCTTCAGTGCTGAATGCTTTTAGTGCTTTTTTTTTTTTTTTTTTTTTTAGTTTGATAAAAATTAATGGTGTCATTGAAGGCTCAGTGTAAATATTTGGTGAAAGAAGCATCTTTGCATGTGTTTTTTACAGCAAGAAAAGAAAAATTGATATTTTTTCCCCCTACTTTCTGATTATTGGGGATTGAGGGGAGAATCGTGGCTACGATTTATTAGGTGTCATAACCTGGAGATCAGCTTTTGGATGATGAGGCACACAGAATAAAAGACGGGTTTTTAAGGGGAATAACAGCTCTTGGAAATGCGTTGTGGCAGTTGGGTAGAAACCTTGCTTTCCTCTGTTGCTGAACAGCCTTTGTTTTTGACCAAAATAAGAAATTATTTGTTCTAAGAATATTTCATAATAGCTGATAGGACAAAAATGGGTAGGAGAACGGGCTGATTAGGGAATGAGGGATATGAAATCAGCTAAAAAACATTGTCCTGTGGCAAATCTAGGTATCTCACCTTCAAGTCTTATCGAATTCTATCTTTACATATCAAAAGCTGTCATTTTCCTTGCAAATGAAAAGAAAGGGCTCTCTACCTGAGCCCACCTGATTTTCATTTTCTCTAGTAAGATTCTTCAGCTGTTGGCATTCTGTAGAAACTCTGTCTCCTCTTTAGTGTGTTTTCTTTCCCTCTCACCTCAGCCTTACAGCTTCAGCTGCTCGCTATCTTATTCTTGCTTTGTTGCACAAGAAGCATTCAGTAAGCTTTTCTGTGCATGTTCAGTAGTGAGTGACTATATTCAGTGGCACTTTTACTCATTTTAGAGCAAGAATTCCAATGGCAGAGGTTTTCTGAAGGGAAAGGCTCTGATTATGTTGGGTTTTAGTTAGGACTTCTGTAAAACAGCCCTTATTTCTTTATGTCCATCCCCTTTTAGAAAGGAGAATACATGAGTATCTTGAATCTTTGTGGTGAGGACTAACTGCATAGTCCAAGCCCAGATAAATACTACCTGAGAGGGAGCAATGTGGCCACCAAACAGTGAAACTTGTTCTGATGAATAGGCAGGTGTGACTGAATGATGCAAGACTTTGCCACCAGCACAGAAGCAGTATGTGCAGATGAGGGAAGCCTGGGATATTTGAACACCTTGAAGCAGTAGCTCTTATTATCCAGTTGCAACGGATTTTAAGGGAGAGAAGAAATGCAGAGTTATTTTCCTTGACTTCACTGTCTTGCTGTGCAGAAAAGCAGAAGATGGCACACCATTTTAAAAAATGATAATTACATCCAAATTCCATTTGTTTGAGCCTACGAGTATGATTTTGTGGCAAACTTTCTACCTCTGTGAGATTAATCTCTCTAGAAAGCAGAGAATGAAGCCATACAGCTCTTCAGATGCTGATGATCTATTTATTTATTTATCACCTTGATGAAACAATTAGGGGACTAGAGCCTCATAAATTACATGTTCATGTTATGATGCTTTAACATTTTTTTCAGCAGCTGCACACGTGCTGTGCATCTTTCCTTGGATGGTCTTATGAGGTTATTAAAGGATATTTCAAGAAACTGCCACAATCTTCCCTATTGACTTGTTACATATTGATAAGCCGAGTAGCTAATCCTCCCCTTTGTCCATCAGGCTGAAAGTGAGGCGTGGGGAGAATAGAAGGATCATCAGTAACCTGAAATGAGGAAGGAAATAAGAGCACTAATAGAGCATCATTCATAACAGCATGGCTGCCCATGAGTTTTCCCACACCGAACTGCACTGGGAATGTTTCTTCACTATGGTCTATGTAGGATCATGAATTACTTACTGAGCACTGGGAGGACTCAGTCTCCTGATTACATACTTCGGGAGATCTATGCATGTGCACCAGTGGTTAGTAGGCTTAATCTTATAGAGCACACTAATTAGATATCTCTTTTCCTGTTGGGTTTGGCAAATAAATTGCTATCATCATTACCACAGATCATGGCAAAAGCCCTGCAAGTAGAACATCTGCTTTTAATTAAATACATGCAGAGATATATTTCAACATGTACCCATTAATCAAACTTTAACTTTGCTTTTAACCTCTTTTACTTAGTCAAACAGTTGTTACAAAAACATGTACTCATTCTTCCATGCAACAGTGGTTACAATTTTCTCTATATATGCATATATTAAAAAAAAAAAAAAAAAGGCTTAAATGTTTTTTTGCTATATATTCCCTCACTTGTACTATTCATTTTGGTCTAATTTTCAAAATGGGTGATCAGGTGCTTGAGATAAGACAGCTAGCTCTGAATTCCTCTAAAACTTCTGGAGGTCCATCACTGCCAGCATCTGTAAGCTCATTGCTGAGGAAGAAATTATTTGCTGCTGGCAGAGGGAAAGGCAAAGCTGATTTAGGAACCTTGGAATGAGGGGAGAATTGATAAAACATTTTCTGTCTCCAACTGTTCTGAGTTTTCTCACAGTCAAGAGTCAAAACTGATAGTACTTTAAACAAGAAAGCTGTAGAACATCTCGAACTTTAGGGTCAGTTTGTGCTAATTGGGTAACAATTAATTTTGAGTGACCTCTAGTGGTGCTTTCCCACAATTTCCCTTCAATTAGATAAGTGGGATCCCTATTAGTAACAGAATATCAGGATCGGTATTTAATGGCCCTTTCTCAGCAGCAGGGTAAATAGTCCAGAGCTAGATGGGGAGGCCACATCATGGGTTTGCTTTTCTGAACAAAGCATCTGATAACTTGATGAAGCACATAGTGGATTTTCTTCATGCATCCTTTTTTGCCCACTGATCATTCCACAGCCCTGTGTTGCAAGGCAGCCCACAACCTGGGACTTCATTGCACGAATACGTCCAACTGTGCCTCTGCAGCAAAATGAAGATATGACTTCACTAGATGTAGGCACACTGTTATTAGCTTTAACCAAGCCTGTATGGGCAATTACAGCTGTGATTACTGTTTTATTAATCTCCCATGGTATTCCTACTTGATGCAGCTACAGCGGTGGGATGGCAGAAGCAGCTGTGGGTCATCGCCTATGGACTCACACAGGAGGGAGACCTGTAGGCCACAGTTTGAAGATTGGAAGAACAGAAATGTGACAGCAGCAGGAGGGGGATTTGCCACCTTCAAATTATGCTTTACAGACACAATGGCCAAGGTAAAACCTTGTTTTATGACCCTGATTTTTGAGAGTGCAGTGTCCATCAGTGGCTCAGCTGTGCTCGTTGGCTCAACCAACTCTGTAGTGACTCCATTTATGCTCTAATAGGAAGGCAAAGCAGTGATTAGCTTATTGGCCATCCTGTGCACAGAGGCCTGTATAGATGTCAGTGGCACTGCATGTTTTATCAGCTCTTCCCCATAATTCCTTTCTCATGTGTGCCTTCCAGATCTCACCCCAACAACACCACTGGTGCCCAGAGTGCTGCTCGATGGTCACCAGTAGATGATATCCTCTGATGAGATGCAAGGCCTGGGCCTAATTAGCTACAACCCCCTGAGATGGTTTATAAATGTGGCAGAATGAGCACAAGGGTCTAAAGGATCAAGGCTCACTCTTCAAGTGAGATGTGCATAAACATATTAACAGCTATACATTTTAAAGTGCCTAGTTGCATGAGGTGGGGCTTTATTCTAGGTAATTGCCAGTTTCAGTTCAATTAGGCACATCTTGTCTTTTCAAATGCCCCATCCCACCAGCCAGCAATAAATGGATCTCCTCCCTTTCTGCTAAGCTTCTGTCTAGGGGAGGATTCTGAAGCATGGCCAAGCAGAAATGCATGGTGTTTATTCTGAAAGCATATCTCTTTGAAGCACGGAGGACTTCAAAGTCAACAACCAAGAAGTCATGGACTGTAAAGATTTACTGTGCTCAAAATTACAAACCTGCAACCCCCTGAAAAGTTGCACTAAAATGCATGAGTTAGTTCTGATGTAGAGATTTGAAGAATTTTAATTTGCATAGGTATTCATGCTGGCTTTAATAAACATAAATTAGTATTCAAATATTTTCCTCAAAATGCACCAGACTTGTAGGACAAAATGTGACCTGTCATTTTGATCTTATTTTTTTTTCAATGACCTTGAATAAATGCAAGGGAGAGAAAAGTCACTTGCAATTTTCTTTCCAAATATGGGGTGGTTTCTGACAAAGACTCTCAATCAAATTTTAGGTGATTGACAGTTCCCTTTACCAAAAAGATTTAAGTCCAAAGATACTGTTAGAATATATGACATAATTATTTTGCCTAATGGAAATGCATTCATTTTGCTAGCAGTCTTGAATTGCTGCTGCCTTAAAGGCAAATGCTTTAGTATATTAAGGATTCAAAACTTGGCTGATTAGTGCTATAAATCTTGAGCAGGAAGGGTAGGGAAATCTTGTATTTGGACTTTTGTTTAATTCGTCATTGAACAACTTGAAAATATTTAATCCTCTCTTTATTTATTGTTTTATTCCACACATACATGTCTTGCTTGTCTTATGGGCTGAATTTACTTGTTCCTTCCTTAGTAAAAACCTTTTAACACTTTTATTTAATGAGTAACAGAGACGTGGCTCTTTATGGGCAATGCAGTGGGTCTTACTAACTACCAGAAAAATGATATTTTTAATCTTCTTAAGTTGAAAGTATTCCAATAATTAAATCTGGATCTGTAAGGTGAAAGGTCATAGTTATTTTAAAAATACATTTATTAATTGCTAGCTATTTCTTAATAATTACCACGTTTGGTTTTAATACCAATGGTAAATCATTGTAATTAACCGACCTGGCCCCAAGACAAAATTGTGATCCTTTCAAATTTCATAAGAGGAAAAAAAAGTCTCCATCTTTTTAGCAATCCAAAAGTCACTGGAGCCTCTCCCTCTAGAAGATCATCACTCTCCAGAGACTTTAAAGCCATTTTACTTATAGTTGATGGTTAAATTCGGTGTGACACATGAGTTGGGTAATCATGATTATGTACAGGAGATGGTAGAAACTCTTCCCATGCCATCTCGGTTTTCAGAGCAAGGCAAGGTAGCTCAGAGAGTCAGATTTGTCCATCAGTTGAGAGTAAGATGTGCTTCAGTGCTGCTGACGACAGGCAGAAATCTGTCCTCGGGGTATAAAGCAAATGAAGAGCTGTTATGGTTTTGTGTGGACGACTAAACTTTCTGCAGCCCTGGAGATTAGTCTTCCTCATCAGCCTTAATCAGAAGTGATTAGGTACAGCAGTAAGTGGATGTGATATTAGGGCACAAGAAAAATGTAGGAATTTTTGTGATTCTGCCCTGATCTGCCATGTGGGTAATGTAGCAGTGAAGAGGGAAATCTGGGGAGACGCTGAGTGAGAAAAACTGTTCTCTCTCATAGGTGTGTTTATTTACTGCTATGAGCTTGAACACTTCTCTGGAAGTGCATAATCTGAATCTCTCTTTTCACTTCAGCTGTGATTTAAGCTTGCTGCAATACAGTGGGCTCAGCTGAACCTCTGGGCTTTATTAGGATCTGGAATGATAGTTTTCTAGTAAATAAAGGAGACTTCAAAGCTGCTTCTTCACAAAGATCGCTGCTGTCTTCTGTGTCTGTTTTCTGGGGACTATATTCATTTAAAAAAAAAATAGCAATAATCAAAGAGAGATATAATAAAAAATACAAATATTCTTAGATGAAACCCCTGGAGGTGTTCAAGGCTGGGTTGGACGGGGCCCTGGGCAGCCTGGTTGAGTATTAAATGCAGAGGTTGGCAGCCCTGCCTGTGGCAGGGGGTTGGAGAATGATGATCCTTGGGGTCCCTTCCAACCCAAGACATTCTATGATTCTCTGAAATAGGTCTATGTCACAGATTTCCAGTTAAATGAAAACAGAGTAATATTTTGAAACCTTGTTATTCTGGAATAGTATTTATGTAAATGCAGCAGAATATATTCACCAATAAACCTGTAGATTAAAGACCTACATTGCAGATGCAATGCTTAAAGTCTGCAAGATTTCTGCAAATATACCTTTATTAAAGATATAAAAAGATATAATTGTACTGAAAACGTGCAAAGTTAACGTGGACAAATAACAGCAGGGGTTGAAAATGTGGATATCATTTTACATACAGAAGTTCTGTATTCATTGTGACCATTAAAAGCCCCAAGCCATGGGGTTCACCTACAAAACTGGGAGAGGGAATAGATTTTTTTCAGGCTTCACTTGTCCAGAGCATGGCAGCAACATTTAAAAAAAAAAAATTAAGGAAAGGAAAGGGAAAAGGAAGGGGAAAAAAAAAAAAAAAAAAAAAAAGGGAAAAGGTAAAATGGAAAGGGAAAGGAAAAGGGGAGAAGGAAAGGAGAGAAGAAGAAAAAATACTAATTCTGACTAAATTAACACATACTTACGTGCCAACTGAAGTATGAGAGATTACCCTAGGGGGCAGCTGGTTACCTGCAGGATTTCTAGGAAGAATGGATTGAATCCTGTGGAGAATAAGTAGTACTTTCTGGTTTTTGGATGACATGCTAACACCTTGAAAGAATTCAGAAGAATATTTACAAAATCTTGAGGAAATTCCAGCAGGTTACCAAGCCATGCTTTAAAAATAAGTTTGTAGGTCAGGAGATATTTTTCACTCCTCTCAAAACTCAGATACCCTACTTTTGCTTCAGGATAAAAATATCTTTAAAAGATAGAAACTAGGGAGTATGCATACATGCTTTGACGTTGTACAGTTTATGTTGCATTTATCCATGTTAAATCACTGTTATGGTAGCTCTAAACTATCACTGCTAGCTACTTAATGTCTTACCTGACATGTGAAAAACAAAATAGATTGGGATGAAAGAGTAAGAGGAGCTTTTTGGATGAAACCATACAATCCAGCAGATCTAATGCTTTAATTTCATGGAATCATAGAATAGTTTGTGTTGGAAGGGACCTTGAAGATCATCCTGTTCCAACACCCTGCTATCGGCAGGGACACCTTCCTCTACACCAGGTTTCTCAAAGTTCCATCCAGCCTGGCTTGAATGCTTCCAGGGAGGGGGCACTCACAGCCTCACTGGGCAAAGGTTGTCCATTCGGATTTGGAATGTCATTTTCTTCTAGAATAAGGGCTGTTGTTCCAGAAGATCCTAAGAGCAAAATGTTCCTCACTACTTGTTTTTTAAATAATTATCAAAATATGAAATAACATTTCTGTATCTGTTTTCTGGGGATTATATTCATTAAAAAAAAAAAAGAAACATTTAAATATTTTAATGGACTTGTAGTCTCACTCAGGATTTAATAAATTAGTGGAGATGAAAAAGCAGAATAAAAAGTTTTTCATGATGCCAAAATAAGACCAAGGCTTGAGTACCCTGCAGCCTGTATGAGCAAGAAGAGGAGGAGAAATGCTAGTACCAACTGTGAATATCCTGCATTATTGCCTGGACTTGCAACCAATTCCTCTGGTAGTCATATTTGTTATAATGAATTTCCTGGAAATATCTGTGAGATTCTCCTGGGGGCTGCAGTGGCCCTGGGGACACTTGTGAGCACTTCTGTCTTGGTCACATCCAAAACCCTCTGCAGATATGCACTTGGGAGCCACCAAGAGCCTTTGGCCTCATCCACTCACTCCCCAGACCCATCAGAAACAAGTCCTGGTATTTGAGTACAATCCTGGGGCCCATGAGTTCAGCTTAGTGACTGGGAGGAAAAGAAAACATTATTGTCCTCAGTTAATTGCTTCTTTGTGACAGAACACACTTCAAAGACGCTTTAGTCTCCAGTGCATCTTAGCTGAGAAAAGCCCATATTAGTGATTTTAAAACCCCCCTATTTCCAACAACTCAGATGAGTGAATTTCGTGCTACAGAATATTCACCACCAAGCATCTCCATCAGCAAAAGTGGAACGCGAAATTAGTTTGGGGCTTGGGTGGTATTTTTTTGTTTTGTTTTGTTTTTTAAAGTGCTGTTTTAATGAGGTGTTTAGTTTAGCACATTTGGCTCCTCCAAATTACCTCAGGGGGATTCATATGCTAACGAACTACACAGCTGTTGTTTGTGAAACCAGCCTAGCACAAGCAGAGCGTGTAGTGCAAAGATTTAAATGCTCTGTTGGAGAGGTCACTGCACTCCTTCCTCTGCTATCAGTTATTAATAATGAGTCTACTACTTAATTGTAAACAATAGATTGGTTGGGTTTGGGTTCAAGTGCTTGGGGGGGGTGATAAGAAGGATAAAATCATAGAATGACCTGATTTTATGCAACTGGTGAAGCATTTTGGGGTGGGGAAGGTTGGCAGAGAAGTTAAAGGCACTGGTCATGGCCTGACGAGGCTGCAATGAGCAGGACTGATGTTTGCAATAATTGTTGTTGTATAAACACTCCCTGATATGCTTCAAAAGCTTTAAATCTGAATTTCTTAAATTAAGCAGGCTTTGCTCCTGGCAAGAAATAAGCCATTTTCATTTTAAAGATGTCACTTTATATTTAAGGAAATTAATAGCTGGGAAAGTAAAGGAAAAAAAAAAAAAAAAAAAAGAAAAAGAAAAAAAGAAAGAAAAAATAAAAGCAAGCAACCTGATTTTTAAAGGCCAGTGTGACACAATTTATATACTCAAGGAGGAATCCCAGTTTCCACCACCTCCTGAGAAGTAATAGTGGCCAAGAGAGATGCTGGCATCGCTCAGCAGGCAGCATGTTGTCCATGAGCTGGGAACTGCTGCTTTGCAGGCTGCTCACATGTAACACATTCCTCATAATGCTGGCTCGTAGGTCATTTAATCATTTAAATATTTGTGCTTTATTACTGAAAATAAGTTCCATGATTAATCATTAACATCAGAGCAACCTCTGCCGGCTACTGGGGACAGAGCTCTCAGCAGCATAACGCGTTCAAAGATTTGAATTCGATATGCCTGCTGTATGATTCACACTTTTATTGTCTCTCAAACCCATTAGTATTTAAGTACAAGTAATGGTATTTTGCCTAGAATTTAGGCAGAATATAAAATAAATGTACAGTGGGAGCTTTGCCAAGTTTGAAGAACTCCTCATTGGCGCTGTAGTCCTGAGAGCAGCAGCTTCTGGCAAAGTGAACACAAACACAGAGACTTCCCTGAGTACAAAGCAAGGATCCTCATTGAGGCCCCCATGCCACAGCTCAGATGGCATAATTAAGCTCAAACCAAGTAAGAAAGAAAGTCCTTGCCTGGATAAAGACAGAAACCATCGGCTCTTGTTTTCTTTGGAAAGTAACTATCAGAAAGACCTGATATTCCTCCAAGTGCCTTTCTAGAAATAAAAAAAAATCCATATTAGGGCAAAAAAAAAAAATTTCTAAATGTCCTTCTATTGCTGTTTTACAGATGAGAAACTGAGACGCAGACTGATCCCAACTCCCAGCTCTCTCAGATTGTTTGGCTTGGAAATAACATTGAGGATCAATGGAAGATCACATCCATTTGGAGGTACAGTCCATTTGTAAGATTTTGGGACATTCTGCATCCTGGCCCAGTGCCATTGTTTGAGGGTGATAGCAGAGATGAGTTAATGTCACCTCCAGTATCCACGTACCTAATGGTCAGCTGTCCTCAAGGAAGAGGGCTAAAATCAGCAGCTCATTTAACTCAACAGACTGTTGAGAACTCTCCATGCATAAGTTTTTTACTTACGTGCATAAGCTGGATGCAAACTGGTTGACTAAATTGCAAAAATCAAATTCATCTTTTCCAGTTTGCAAGCTCCTCTTCTGAGCGCCCATTCAGTATGGAGATACCGACAGTGTTGGGGGATTTTATTTCATTTTTTGTTGCTAGTTCTATATAATGGAAGTATATCAAGTGCTGTGCATAAGATGTTATTAGGACATTAGGATTACTCATTGCAAAGACACGTGTAATATAGAGTGGCTGTTTCCTTGCACAGCATGGAACCAGAATGCCTGCCAATTGGAAATGAAGTCACCTTCCATTTCAGGCTGATTTATCTGCAAAATATGAGTTTTCCTGTGGATCTGGAATTGCCAGGCATGTTGGATAGGAAGTAGTTGAGAAACCCAACCTTTCTGGAAGGTGGGGAGCTTGGAAATACACTGACACCCTTCTCCAATTTCTTGGCTCAGCTGCTTGTATTCAGCCGATATGAAATCCTCTCTTTCAAGAGGGCATCTTTTCTGCCTACTGTGGTTTTGCAGCTCTGGTAGCATTAATGCCATCTCCTAGAGCACAGCAGGCTTTTCCATTAGGATCTAGGAAGAGCCAGGTTGGTTACAGGCTAGCAGAACCCACTGAAGATTTCAGGACTTCCAAATACTTTGTCTTGTACATTTAAGGATTCCACAAAATACATGTAAGCAGAGATTAAACGTTCAAAGGAGAGCACAGATGGTTGAGTAGCACTCATTTTGATCACCAGCATTCCTAAAAGTTCTAGCCAAAAGGAAAGGATTTTTCCTTTATGTGAGAAAAGATTGACTTCTGAGACCCTTGTATTTAAATACCAGTAGCTGGTGCGTCGCCACTGATGTAGGTTGTCATTTCTGATTAAAAAACAAAACAAAACAAAACAACTCTGTATCAACATAAAATTATTGTGCAGCAATTTAATGGCACAGCTCTTCTCTATGAGCTCGGAAAACATCCCATTAAGTCTTTCACGAATTGCCACAATAACTTCTGCTGACATGCTCATTTGTTCTCATCTCCAAATAAATCTGCTCAATGACTTCCACAGGACAGAGCAGGGATTTCCCAGGCCGTGATTCAGCACAGCTTCATTCCAGCACCTCGGTATTCTCCCCATCTCAGCTCTGGGTGAGGCTGAGGTTGGAGATGCCACTTCACACCAGCTCAGATGGGGGCTGTGTGTGCTGCACAGCGCTGGTGTGAGACAGCTGATGAAATGTTTTTTGCTTCTCTCTCGGATCTATTTCAGTGCTCTTCACCATCTGGTGAAACACTTCAAGGAAGAAAACAGCCTTGCAATGTCTCATTTTGCCGTGGTTTTTGAGCATTATTTTAATGATCTTTGTGTCATTTAAGTATGATTACTTGTCCTCTAAGGCTTTTCCTGTTTATACTTAAATAGTGTTGGAGTGTAGCCAGACACACTTTAAACAAAATGATAGAAAATAGTATTTTTTTATTTTATTTTTTGTCATAAAAGCTTAAAAGAATCATTTACAATTTGGGAACATAGTGGCACTTTGCATTCTGGTAGGGTTTTGTCTTTTGTTTTTTTTTAATCTCCTTGTAGTAGTAGAAAAATAAATGAATTAAACAAGCGTAATTACCAGTTAAATTTTACAAAATACCAAAGAAATGGAAGGCTTAATTCAAAAGGGTGGTAATGGTATAAATAATTAAGTCAAATTGTTTTCATTTTCATGCCGCATATTGTTTCCTTCAGACTGTAATGGTACAAGGCAAAGTATGCGCAGTGGTAGAACAAGACAAATAACAGATAAATTTATTCATAAACACTTTGTGGATTTGTAATTAGAAGTTCACTGCGGCAGTTTTCACTGGTCTTTATTTTTTTCCCCAATTTCTGTAAATATTTGCATGATTAAATTTTTGCTTTGAGAATGCAGACAGATGCAGAATGCACTGCGGAAGTGCTGTGAAACCTTCCTCATTTCTTGGCTGTAGTGGCAACCAGATCCCCAGCATCCTCAACACAGCATGGCCATCTGCCAGCTGGGTTAGCCAGCACCACGCCTATGGAGGTTGGGAGCTGTTGGGATGGGTTTGTGTGTGGCAGTTTTCCCTCTTTTAATTAATTAATACCCAAAAAAGGAGTTTTTCTGACCCACGGATGATAATGACCTGGTAGATATCAAATTCACTGGACTTCAGGGACCAGCAGTGACTTCTGCCAGAAAAGGGGGGCTGATGAATGAAATGATTGTGTAGGATGAATGCAGCACAATATACATGAAACACTACGATCATTGCCTACGTTTTGTGGGTCTGGCATGCAGAATGCCTTCAGTGCTGTATATTCAATGAACCCATTTCGGTGTAAAGTTGTGATAACCTGCGGAGATCAGAAGATCTCCTGAGGGTCAATACGCACCATTACAAGACTTCAAACGCCAGGTGATGATACTGAAAGGGACATCCAGAGCTCCACCACAACAGCAACTCCTGTTCTGAACCTGTTTGTGGAACTACCTCTTGGTTTATTTTGAGCGTGCTACAAATTTAGTAAAATTAAACTTTCGAAAATATGAAGACACAGAAGCAAGTTAAACCTCCTGAGTAAATTTGCCATTCAGCACGCTCTAGATGTATTCACTTTTTATGAAAGTAAGACTATGCTAGGATTACCTGTATTTCCTCGGGGTAGGGGTCCTTATTCTGCCCCTGTTGCACTCACACAGATCCTACTGGTACCATAATGTGAGCAGCAGAGGTTGCAGCACTGCTCACAGCTCTTGCCTGCAGGTAGCCCATGAACATCGATATCTTCCATCATTGCATCAGTGCAGCGTGAAGTACCAGGTGAGCTTGTGTCTGTGCCCAGCCCCAGGGAAGGATTTGCCATACACTAATGTGCTAAAATGAGCTGGGCTGGGGTCAAAACAGCAAGGTCCTCAGCTCTGCTGATTCACTGCTTATCCTTCCAGCAGCCCGAGGGAGCTGCAACATGTGTGGTGCTTCCCTTCCCCTCTCGCTGCAGTGGAGCTTGGCTTCTGCATAGCACTACTGGCCTCTGCTGCCAGCACGGGAGAGGAGGAGAGAAGAGAAATTGAAGGGGACTTTCCACCTCCCTGCTTTTCTGGAGGGCCTCCTGATCCCTGCCTATGAGCCGGAGGAAAAGCAATCTTTCATCCTTACCTTATTTCCGCGCTTACAAATAAAGGTCAAGGCTCCTCTGCTGTATTCAATGCTGTACCAGCTTTAAACAACCACCCTGAAATGTAATTGTAATTAGTTTCCTTTCAATCTTGATGTGAAGAGTGATCTTAAAATGCCAGGGCTATAGCAGCGCATGTGATTAACAAGCACAGAGAAAGGCAATGTGTGGAAAAATATGGATAGAAATGAACAAAATGCAAATGTTGCACTGCTCTAAATTTTATTATCCTCTCAGCTCTTCATAAAATACTGTAGACATCATTTGATTATATTTTTAGTCTAGGGAATTAATTTTTAACTAGGGAACTCATTTCTGCCTTATGATTACTCTTCTCTGCAGTGGCCTGTAGGTCTGAACTAAAAAATCACAGTTTTAATTGAGCTAATGATGCCCAGAACTCACATTAATCTCACTTATGTGTGTGTCATGCCATGCAGCGTGTGCTATAGCTGCCAGTAACGTGTGCATCATTTCATACCAATGATTCCTCCAGGGGACCAAGTAAATCCTGGCTGGCTTGGGTCTGTATCCCACTATTGTCACTGCCCAGAAGACTCCTTGGAAATGCTGATGACTGGGCAGCCAGCAGAGGGAAAAGAAAATAGCAAAAACAGCGTTCGTGATCAGCCTCCATGTCCACTCCAGCTCTTTCAAGAGCTTTTAACACCTGCACATTTTGGCTTGTGACATCCAGACTCACAGTAGGGATCAACAAACATTTGGGAATCTATAGATCTATCTGTTCACCTCATCCCACAGCCACCATCCCACAGCCTTGGTTTTCAACTCTCTGTGCTGGAATCCACATTAAACAGAGCAGTGAAGTTCCAATTGTTTGTTGTCAAAGAGTTTCAGTTTTGTGATGAAAGATGTGACCTTTCTTTGCGGCAAGAGTCCTTTCTGATTGATTAGTAAACATGAGGTAAAATGCAGGAGCACGCCAGCGTTAACTTGGTACTGCCACTGGCTCTGTGCATCAAATATTTTTGCTTTATTTTGAACATCCTGTTAATGAGAAAAACATTCTAATCAAAGAAACGTGTTTCCTTCAATTCTCTGCCCAGTGTTATTTGCTGCTTCAGAATGACATGCTCAATTATATCTGTTTTGTTCCCAAATTAGAAAAAAAGAAAAAAAAAAGCTTCAGAAAATTATTAACTAAGACTCTTAACAAGTGTTAAGCAACATCCAGTATTAATTATTTAATCATTTTTTTAATTCTTTCTCATCAGGTAAGAAGAGAATAGCATGCTTGCTCAGAGGATGGTTTTTCGCTTAGCACCATTGTGCTCAGGACTGGACTCCAAAAGCAAACACAAGGTAAGAGGCCTCTGCAGACATTGATGGGCACAAACCTTTTAATTAAAGCCACCAGAGAGGCAGTGTGATCGAGTGCAAGGAACAGCATTTCTGTGTGCATTATGATACATGAGAAATGGGCTGGTGAAGGACCCAACAGAGGGTCAAGAGTACAAGAGAGAGGTGCACACGCTGCAGAGCAAGCTAACTGGGCAAAGGTTGCGTTCTGGATGAGGACACCAAGGTTCACGTACTCGTGGCCTCATATGAGCACCCCAGCCACTTCCAGCCTCCCCCAGTATTGCCCTCTCTGTCCTCCCACCACCCATTGCCCTTTCCCATTTTCCCAGATCTCACCGCACTCCAGGACCACACCAAAGGAGTTACCTCAGGATGTGGCAGCCTCCTCAATGCTGAGCAGCTTCTCAGAGAGTGTGTGGGCTTTGAGAAGAAGGAAGCCTTTTGTGTTCTGTTCCCTAACATTTGGATAAAGCCTTGTTCATCTCAGCCATCCTCTGCTGCTAGGAGAAACCCCCTGTTTGTGGCATTGTGGAGAGCCTATTTTGGGCTGCTGTGGTCCTCTACTGCTTCCCTTTAGGACTCTGATGATACCTGTGTGAACAAGCAGAAGAGTGCCATGCCAAGAAATGGGCACGTGTATTACTTGGGTGCATCATTTAATCAATTCCCTCTGTGTTATAATTTCCTCTGCTACTCAAAGGACCATGGACCTTGCACACTGCTGCCATGATCCAAACTTAAGTTTTGGCATACATCGCTTTCTTTTCATGATCCTTCACATCACTGGTATCTCCTTCTTCCATTCCTTCAAGTTGCAGCCAAGCTCTTGACTGGATTGGGTCCCTATTGGTGAGGTACAGAAAAAACATGGCAGCTCGGCCCATCTCTTTGGCTCCACCTCTAGAAAGAGGGAAGTCTCCATGTCCACGTGCAAATTTCCTCACACTTCAGCAGCCTGGCCTTAGGCCATCGAGCCACCTTCGCTGGCACTGCTGATACTTGGCATGAAGTTCTCCCATCCTAATTCCTGCTAGAACAGATTGTACAGAACACATCATGGTTTGAAGGCTGTCCAAGAGGTGCTCTGTGGGTTGTCATCATCTAGGTCCTCATCTAGGTCAGGATCAATACTTAATGAAAACCCTTGTGAAGCAAGGCCTGCTCCTCAGCTCCTCTGTTATGGAGGATTGTTTGATTCACTTACAGGAGCATGCAGTACTTTGCTAAATCTTTTCCAGAAGTGTTGCCATGAAATATTTCCTTCAAGAGCAATAAAGGACCCTCTATATTTTTAAGTTTGTCAGAAGGACTTTGCCACAGTATAAAATATAGGTTCCTTCAAGAATAAGCTTCTTGTTAACTGAAATAGTCCCTCTGTATACATAAATGCACAGTGCCATACACTTTTTTGTGTGTGTGCGTGTGTGTCACAATTTCATTCATATAAAAACAATTTATGGCAATTCCATCAACTGCCATTTAAGGGGGCTCGTTAAGTACAGCAGGATGTAATTAGTCCCACATGGGGAGCTTGTGTTTTATCAAAAGAAAACAACAATCAGCTGGTAGAGCTACTTACAGCAGGGAAAGGAACGGTGAGAAGGAGAGCTGAAGGGAGCAGCGACCACCAAGAGAGTGAGTACTGGGTATGAGACAAGAAGCTTTTGAATCTACATTGGGTGAGTTCTTTGCTGAGTTCATTTCTATCTGTCAGCTTTGTTTGGTACCACGCATCCCAATTCAAACTGATAGCAAGTATCTGAGTCAAATAAGTGAATATTTCTGCTAAATGTTGTCTGTCACATCCTGTTACTGCATTTTGCTTTCTTCGCCATATGTACTAACATGATGTAGTGGAGCACAACATGATGCAACCTGAGTGATTTGATGTGACATGACAGAAAAATATTGCTGCAGCTTTCAGAATAACCTGCTTTTAGCAGTTATTTTCTCTGCTAGAAGCAGTTTCTTAAAATATATTACCTGGATTCTGTTGAAGTATGTTGCACCTCTCTGGTTGTGTGTCTCCGTAATTTCCACAACATGTTTATTCTTCATTTTTGTTCATTCTAGATAGCCATGTTGAGTGTGTTTATTGTTTAATTGCGGGGAAATGGAGTAATACAAACCATGAATGGAGAGATATATGGACAAAAATGTTTTTATTGTAACAAAACAAAACAACACTGGTTCTGTCAACAGCAAACAGTATTTACTTATATGTAGTAATAATAAGAAAAGTTTGGGAAAACCTGTTTTTCCTCTAAAAACTTCCTTGGATTATTATAGGTGAAAACTGGATAAAGATCATCTCTCCTTGGAGAGATGCGGACACAGGAAAGGCAAACACTGAACTGTTGATTTTGCATTTGCAAATGTAGGTTTTATGAATGGGAGCATTTTTAATAAGAAAGTCAAGGCTTAGGTGAGCCTTCCTAGAATTTTGTTTCATTATCCTTGACCTGACTGACAGAAATATTAGCAGTGGGAAATGAAACTGTTGGCTTAGTTATTTTTAAGAAATAAAGTAGTTTATTCCTATTGATTTAATATTCTTTCCTTCCAAAAATTCATCCATCTGGGTGTGTATGCGTGAAAGCTAATTAAATTGGCAGCAGTATCTCTGTACCTCTCACGTGGAGAATATTTGTCTTGAGTTAGAAGAGCTTCACCCTCCAGGGCTGATTCAGAAGTCATTTCCAAAGCAGAAGGAAAGGGAAGGAAATTCCAGTGACCTTCATCTCATCGGATCACAAAATTCAAAGCAGCTGTTTTACAGGGGAAAAAAGAATAAATTAAACAGATCTCCACATTCTCTTGGAAAGGGATAAAACCTTTGCCTTGAGGTCAGAAAGCCTACATCCATTTCTGAGTACTCATAAGGTTTCTACCAGCTGTCCTTGTCCCTTACCCAGAAAAAGATGCTACCTTGAAATACTGATGGCAACTCCTACCGTTGCATTTCCCAGAAGTAGCACAAATGCAGGGCTAGGGTCGTGGCTTGGAAAAACAAGTGTCTTCGATGTTGCAGAGAGGGGAGAAAACAGGGTGATTTTCCCAAATCTGTCCTCACGTGTACTGCTGCAGCACACTACCTGTTGTATCAGCACCTTGGGGCCCTCGGGAACCACCGGTTGGCAGCCAGCCCCAGATGCACAGCAGGAGCATGGTGCTCCACTCTGTGTGTGCAGCTATGCAGGGGTGTGGGTTTGGTAGCACAGGAGCCAAATTCTTTAGTTTCTCTAAATACAAAGCACCTTTTGACTTTTGGTAAAAATTAAACTCTTGGAAGGTTTGAGTGAAGTTTATAACAAAAATGAGGACACCGTTGCTGATAGTTGTACAAAGCCTCCAAAGAGCTCCATTGCTATGTAATCCCAGCAAGCTGGCAATGTATTTTAATGTATTTATTTGATTATGCATTCATTCATCTATTCAGTCATTCATTCAGACACTTGTTCATTCATCCCTGTCCCTTTGCAGGAAGAGAACATAAGCCAGCAGTGGCATACTTCTTCGCTGTCCTGATTTACAGCCATGGCTCTGAGTTGGTATCGATAAATCACTTTGGTCCTCTTCAATCCAACCCTATCCCTCATTAATAATGGGGATTTGAAGGAAGGATTAAAAATCATATCAGATCATAGATAGACAGATATGCATATTAGTTGCAGCACTTTAATCAAAATGCTGACTTATTGGATTTCTTTTTATTTAAGACCTTTCGTATTCATGTTTCTCTAGGTCTTGCAATTATTTCCACAATCTCTGACTTTTTATTAACTAGCCCATTGGCTTCACTAGCAGAACTGATTGAGGAGGTACCTGGTGCTGTCCTGCTACCTGCCCAGGTGGATGCAGAGCTCTAGCAAGACTGGCACTCGCATCTCTCTTCATTGCCTGTATTTCGTAGTATCATAGAATGGTTTGGGTTGGAATGGACCTCAAGGGTCATCAAGCTCCTGCTTGCCTGCCACAGGCAGGGCTGCCAACCTCCACATCTAATACCAGACCAGGCTGCCCAGGGTCCCATTCAACCTGGCCTTGAACACCTCCAGGGTCGGGGCATCCACAATCTCTCTGGGCAAAATTTCATGGCTTCTTACCATCTTCTGGCCTTGGGAAATATTTATTTAACAATGCCTTTCTGGAGGGCCACTTCTGGTAGGCAGCAGCTGGATGAGCTGTACCTGGGATTACCTCAGTATTACTCCTCCCAGCCTAATCGCATGCCTTTTATCTGCTTCTGAGTATGCTTGAACACAGGAGGATGTTCTTTGAAAAGGGACTGAAAAGAAGGAGAGGGCTCATTTTTGAGCTGGGATCACTCGCTTTCTGACAGCTGCAGGAACGCTTTTTCTTGCATATCTCTGAAATACCCTTAATTATTCTCACAGACAACTTGCAATGTAATTGCGTCCCTAAACTGTTAACCTTGAAAAAATATTTGACAATGTACTAACATCTCAGAAACTTGTTATTCCAGGGAATATAATAAACCCATAAATATCCTAGCTTCTCTCAGAAGTCCCAGAATAATTCTTTGTTGTCATTCTTTTTGTTCCCCTCAATTTTTTGTTTTGACCTGGTAGCAGGAGATGCTGGAGAGAAAGAGAGCATGTTAAAAAGAGTAATAATAATAATAGCTAAAAAGCAGTTTGAAAATGTAGTTATGTATCATATATAACACCTCCTACAAAAGGAGATGTCCCTTGTCGTCTTCTCACCATTTCTGTGCCTTGAGGGCACTGGAGGGTGGAGCCACTTAATGGCAATATGGGACAGAGCTGGTCCCTGGTAAACAAAACCAACAACGCTGCCATTCCAGTGCTCTCCCCCTGCCTCCCTCCCCTCCTTCGCATGTGAGGTTTGTGTATAGCTGCAAGTGCTGCTTCTTAAATAAACACCTCCTACTTTAAAAGAATTACAATGCCATATAGGCTGACAATGTGCTTAAATGCCATGCTTGCTTTGGCAGAGAGAATGAGA